CTCAGTATTGTCTTTTTACACACCTGCTGACACAGCAAATCTGCCAGGTGCCCAGTGGATTTAAGGTTTGGGAATAACAGTGAATTTATTCATTGTATAGAATTGTCTGTGTTACCTTTCTATAGTGACTTTGGCTTCCCTTACTCTCCATGCATTTAGGGTAAGAGCTGTGGTCTAAGTTTCCTGATTTTCTCTGTGTAGCGTTTCTGTCTTGTCCTCATTTCCAACTACCCTTTACCGACTTTCAGATTCCCAGGGCTCTTTCTGTCTTTGAAATAAATTTCTTTTTTGTTACCCTGACTCTTTACATCTTTAGAGCCACTCTGAGGAAGGTTTGCAGCAGTTCTCTCACCCTGGGTGGAGCTAGAATTCACTGGGTGGAGAGCATGTTTTTAGTGCAATGTCATTTATTCATAATTTATCTTATTGACTAATATCTACTGACTAGCACTTATATCAACTGTTGTCAAGGTCATATTGTAGTGGTATACACCCTAAATCCCAGAATTTGAGACACATAAGAAGAAATTTTGAGGCTATCCTCAAATAAATTAAGAGAGAGACTCTGTCTCAAAAATAAAGAAATTATGTTCTTAGAATACCAATTTTACTATACTCACAATTGACATGATTTCCCCCTTTAGTAAATACACTAGAGGATGTGCTGTGTTACAGAGTAAATATTTTTACTTTGAAGGAATCTCATAGCTTTTCACATAACTGAGCACTGTAGGAGGATACTGGTTATCCTAGATCCTGGTCACTCTGGCATAGTCAATCTTTGTTCTTTTCCCATAGCTTTCCTTCTTTTCTTCTCTTCCTCTTATTTTGAGAGAGAGTGTCATCAAGCATGCTGGCCTTGTTTACTTGTACACTCACTATGTAGCTGAGGATGACTTTAGACTCCTGATCCTCCTCTGCGTACCTCCTGAGTGACAAGATTGTGGACGTGTTCTGTCATGCCATGCTCTATGCAATGTAGGAGACTGAACCCAGAGTCTTGTGTGCTAGACGAGCACTCTACCAACTGGGCTACATCATGAGCTAATAGTCAGGCTTGTTTATATTTGCATTTAAATGGTTGCAATGTGATATATCTTTGTGTCTTTATTCATACAGGCTAATGATGTTGAACACTTTGTTAGGTGTTTGATAATGATTCACATATATTCTTCAATACTGGTGCAAACATTCTTTTATTTATATTTTATTTATTATTCTTTAAATTAAATTATGATAAGGATTTTTATCTTTATTTTATGTGTATGAGTGTTTTCCTGCATGCATGCATATGTGTGGAACACATGAATGCCTAGAGTTTAGAACTGGCCGTTGATTCACTAGGAACTAGAATTAAGGATCATTGTGAGCTATCATGTAGATGTTGGGAATCAAACATGGATTCTTGGAGAGAGCAGCCAGTGTTGTTAACCATTAAGTCATCTCTCCAATTACTTATTTACTTATTTTTAGCTTTTTTAAGTTTCTGGGCTTTTTTATATTCCTCACATAAACACTTTTCTAAATATGTATTGTAAATGTTGTCTCAGACTGAAGATCATTTAGGTTCTTAATAACGTATTTAGACGTGATTTATAGGATACTTTTACAAGGCCTGTTCTGTCTTAGTTTATGTTTCGATTTCTCTTGATTTTCCTGGGAAAACGTTTTCAAGTGCATAGATAAAAGTAACAAGGTTTGCCCATGAAGCACACACCCTTGTCCACTCAAGTGCTCATTGTAGTTTAAAGGTTGTCCCTACTGCCTGGAAAACACAACATTGACATTGTTGATTATTTCTCTTGGGTATGTCCTAGCACACTTTCTGTTTTCTGTTTTCTTATATGCAAGTCTTTGTTAAGGGATAGTCTGACTAAATGGAAAGTACTTTGGGTAATTAAAAATATTCCTTGTTTTTATAAGACACGGCTTCTCTGGAAAGAATTGTTTTATACATGGGGAAGTAAGAGTAGCAATATACTATTGAAAAGCCCCCTTTTAAAACAATTCATCATAATATGATGAAAATGAATTGTAGTTGGGTTTGGATATCATATTCTAAGTACCTAGGAAGTCTGAAAGATGAGAACTTTGTAAGTCTAAGGAAATATCTTGTTAGCATCCCACTCTCGGTTTTTTTTACAGTGGGTTATGTTCCAGCCTCTAGAAGGTGAGGAAGCCTGGTATAGGCTGTTTTGTCAGGGCTCCAAGCTGTCATTCTAACCTTTGACCACTTTTTCTTATCTTGATCTTGAATACACCTTCTTCACTCCAAATGCAAAAGTGAGCAGGTTTCTTTGACAAATGGTTATTGAATGTTTTCTAAGTGTCAGCTATAGTCGAAAACATAGACCAAGAGCAGCAGGAGATATTTTAGCTTCTATATTCACCTTTGATACATATCTACTGTTTTCTACTCTATTCTTGAGTCTAGGAAAGTCTGTCTCATTTGATGTCAACTTGGTTTCTCACCTGTCTTGTGAGACTTTTCCTCATTAGTTTCCCCCTCTTTCCATGTTTTCCAAATTTTGGTAAAATTTCTAAATTTTTACACCATTTCTTTTAAAATTGATGCCTATGGCTCTTTCTTAATTCCATGTGTTAGTTTATGAAATGTCACTAAGTGTAAATATTTGCTATATTTACTTAAGTAGACATCAAAGAAATGAAGCTCTAGAAAAAGTATATTATACCAAGGAAGATTAGAATTTAAGATAAGTAGTATCTTTTGAAAATTCTCAACCATGTATGATAGTGGAGATACACTTATGTACCTAAAGACATACCATCAGAACTTCTCAACCCATGGTGAATGTTTTTCCTTCTCTTCTTCACATCAGTATGTACTCTTTATCCTATATTCAATGGTATCAAAACTGGGGATGATACGGGGCAGCAGCTCCAGGTACCCCATTACTTTGGAAAGTTTCAGGAAGGAAGAAAGTTGAGATGCACTCTACAGTTTTCTTCTATGAGCATATGTTAATGCTAATTTAACAACAACCTTCAATTTTGTGTTTTCTAGCACCATCTACATCACAGCATAACTTGCTTTCCCAGCTCTAAAAAGGTGTGCACCCAGCCTACCAGAGCCCAGGCTCCTCTCATAGTACACCCTCAAAGACTTTCTGAACATCTATTGTCCCTGCAGTTTACCTGGAAGGTCTTTCTGGAAAAATCTTCTATAACAAGGACTATTGGTTACAACTAGCCCAAGTACTATCTGATCCAAAACAAGTGTTGTTCTGAAAAAATTTTGAAAGAAGTACTAAGAATTCAGACACAAAGATAGCAAAACTAACACTACAACATTATAATATGTATTCTGTCATTTTGAATTCAGTCTTGCTGCTGGGGTGTGTGAACTCCGTTTAGGCAGATGAGTCAGGAGGGTGCTAGTCTACAATCCATCTTCTTCACTACTGGGGTTTGGGGATGACAGAACACAGCCTAAGAAGGGGGCCCCAGCCCAAGTGAGAAACGGTGCAGGCTGAGGCCCAGGAGGCAGGAGTTCTCAAGCTCCAGTGCATCTAGTCACCCCTGGGATACAAGTGGAGTTAGGAACAAGGGGGTCATGCAGGCTAGTGATGAGCCCATGGCTGGGGAAGGCAGAACTCCTGCTTAGCTTAGGGGTGAGTGTCTGTGTCCAGAGTGCAGAGGGGCCTTCTGCAGGGAAGGCTTCTCCCCACAGCTGTTCTTGATGAAAGAAACAGTCCTTGCTTGTCTGAACTGTTTATTCCTTGTTCATCGTGGAAAATGGATGTGTATGACTAACTCATGATGGACCAGAGATTTCCTATTTTTTGTAGGAAGGAATGTCTGATAAAGGAAGCTTATTGGTTAAACCCTTGGGCCAACCCATCTAGATACCTCATTAGCATGGAGAGCTCTGTGCTTTGGCTAGTGGTCACGACCCTCATGTGGGGTGTCATGGTCAGGTGTTCCAAGACAGGAACTGGATAGGGAGTAGATGAAATGTCTACTGTTTTTAGATACGAGAAATACCAGGGTTTTTAAATCAACTCAGTCTCCCCAGATTTTTGCCTGGTAACACGGTTCTACTTTTCTCCATAATACATTTTAAAATTTTATTATATAGATTGAAGGTTGAAAGTTATGAACTAGTCACTGAGATTATTGTCATCTCAGTATGGGGCTCCATACTAGGGAAGCTAAGAGTAAGAAGAATAAATAAGAAGCTACACCTCCTATGATACTTGGCCCCCTGTGAAAGGAGGACCACTCTTTTCTAAAACCCATAAAGAGGCTGTGTTGCACAGCCTTGTTGGACACTCAGGGTTTGTCATCCTATGCATTAATGCAGCTGTGGCAGAGGCTACTAGTCATTTAAGGCCTTAAACATCTCTTCTCATCGTATGATGACAAGATCTCTCCTCATGTCTTGCTTTGAACTCCAGAGATGTCCTGATGCTATGGTGCCATGGGCCAACACCCATCATGTACCCATTGCAATGCCCTGGAACATTTTGGATCTCTCTGTGTGGCATAGAATAGGCAATAGATGAATGTTTCTTTTATTTTCTTCCTCAGGACAGATAGCTTTAGGGACTTTTGTGGTAAGGTTTCCCTGAAGGTTTGAGGCATTGGAACCTGTTGTCAATTCAGTGGCAATGGATAGAGATGTTTTGCTTCTTTTCCTTCTCATTAAAATCACTTGACAAAGAAGGTACATGGCTATGTTTTCTCATTGACTCTACTTTCAAGGGCTCTAGATTAAGATCATAGGACAGAAGAAGGAAATGACTTGTTAAGGAGGAGGGGGGTGTTGGGCTAATGGAAATCCTTCCACCCACAAGGAAAAATCTGAAACAATCACTTTCTTTCTAATAGGGAAAATAATAGAGCTATACTTGGGATGAGTAATAGAGAGACTTTTCTTTAATGAAGCTAATTCTTAGACACTAAGAAATGTTTAAAAAAACTTCAATAATATTTTTTATTGATCATAAGAGAGATGGAGATAAAATCAGGAGGTAGAGGATCAGTCATAACAGGATAAGGGCCTTCCAAATCATCAAAGACTCCAGCTGGTGTTGGATCACATGAGGATAAAGTACTGTCTGAGCAGAGACAATGGAGGTAGGGAAACCTCTTTTAGTATCATGTGGTTGACTGTATAAAACTACTTTTATGAGACTATTGAAGACTAAGTGGGGATTGGGAACATACTTTTTATACTCCAGTTTTCATGGTTTTGCATCTGATATAATTACTTAATCTCAACTAAGGGAAGGCATATTGCATGATGAGAATAGGGAGAGAACTGTGGCCATAAACTATTTTCTTCTACCATAAATGCACATGAGTCTGTCCTTATCACTTCAGACAGGTACTAGTGCCATCGAGGGGAAGTCAGGCTGTGAACTGCATGCATACGCCTGGCCTTTGGGTAGATCATAAGGGTTTCTCTTGTTCATAATTCTAGCTACTGCCCCTCCTAAACATCTATCAGCGGCTTTTACCCTACATTAGGTCTGTAGTTTTTTCCTGTTCTGAACTGTCATAGCTATGCACCTCATCACTACTGGTGGCCTTTGCTTTAAGAGGCTATTGTACCTTTTTGGTAGCAGTCATTTCTATAGAAACCAAAAGATGGTTCTGGCTTGAGCACCCTGTGGTGGTCTTTTTATGAGACAGGGATTATCTGCTACTAGACTACTGAAGCTGCACATAAGGCCCATGCTCCCTGAAGAAGAGCTCAGAAGAGTTTGAGATAAATGTGCCTCCAGCCATGGAGCATCCATCAGCATCAGCATCAGGATCCTTCTGACTGCATGACTTTGCGTTGTTTATAATGACTCCAACAATCCTGGGAAAGTCGACATAGGCTCTATCAATGAGATGTGTTCACACTATTCTCTTTGGAAAGATAGCTGGATTTCCTTCAGTGGAAGTTAGGTTTGTTGATGATTCTTTGTTTGTAAAGCAGGATGGGACTAATAAGTACAGTATGATCCAGAAAGCACACTTCATTGTTAATTCTAAAGCCACTATAAGGCCTTCCAAAGGACTTCCTTCTTGGAGTTGTACTTCCTGCCCAGCAGGTGAAGAGCTGAATCATAACAACACAGTGGAAAGGGAGGAGCAAAAAGTGAAGGCTTATATTTCCTTTGGAGGGACACAGCTCCAGTCATACCTGCTAAACTGTTCCCATCACCATCAGAAAGCAACAAAGGTAAAGAGAAATCTTTCTGTACTTTATGAGTAGAATTGTTGTCAGAGGGCAACAAACAAGAGTAAAAGGTGACACTTAACAAGTGGGTAGTGAGTCAGATGAGGGGGTAGCTTATTATTTAACTGAATGTGGCTCTTCACTGCCCTTTTGATAAGGTTATTAGCATATTTGAATATCATTGAAAATGTTCATCGTAAAACCATTAATTCAGCTAACTATATTTCATTAATCTGATTGTTTTAGGGGAGAAAGTATGATTATATTTTCTATTTAGTATTAATTCTAATTCTTTAGATAAAGATTATCACTTTGTCTCTGTGATATTTCTCTGTGTGTGCATATGGAATCGTGTGTGTGTGTGTGTCAGTTTGTCTGTGTGTCTGTGTGCATGTGTGTGTAAATTTCTCTCTGAATGTGTATGTCTGTGTGTGTTTGTGTCTATACCTATCGGTACATTCCCTGTCCCCCCACCCCCGTGTCTTTCTCTGTCTATGTATCTCTCCCTCTCCCTCTCCTCCCCTCTCTTTCTCTGTAGGTAGGGGGATCTGTGTCTGTGGGTTTTTCTGTGTGTGTGTGTTTCTTTGTGTTTGTGTCTATGTGCGTGAGTTTCTCTGTGTGCACTTTTACCAGGCACTGCCCAGATTGTAAGAAGCTGAGCTCTTTGTCATATATGTGCTCTGAAAGAGCTGGCCAAGACTGTCTCTCTGCACAGTCCTATTTCTAATACATGGTCCCCTCCTGACATTTCCTGAATAGAATCATCTCTTCTTGAATCCAATTTTTTAAACCTAAAAAGGACAAGAGGCTCAGGAATCTTTCTTTGCTTCCTTTTCTCCCACAGCTACCTTTAGATTACACATTCTACTTTCCTGGCAGATGTTTCTTGTCCTAAAATATAGGCAGAGAAGTACAGAGATGTTCAAGGAAGCTTTGTAAAATTCTCTCCTTCTTTTCAAATTCCACTGCATCTTCTTCCATGAAGCTCCCGGCTTTTCCTTTGCAGATCAGTTCGGCCATCGTAGGATCTACACATGTTTTCCAGGATTCATCTGTTTTCAGACTTTTACCCAGTGTGTTCTTCTTTGTGTAAATTGACTGGTCAGTCTTCATTAGTGTGGAAGTGGTAAAATATTCAGTGTTATTTTCTCTAGAATATATTTGTTCTGGGGCAAACATGAAGACATTGATAAGTTCATAAATTTATTTTTTTCCCTCAAGGAATGCTAATTCTAGTGATAAACCCCAACGTATTCACTGGACCAAAATCCGTAATTCAGCCACACATTATTTGGTTATACAAAGACAATCACCCAGATGTAGAAAGAATGTTAGTAAAGGCTAGAGCATAAAAATAATCGAATGCAATTTTGAAACTAGAACTGTTGTAAAAGATTTGTGCTTCTAGCTATAAAGGTAGTGTTCTAGCGAATGAACTGTGATTATAGACATCGTGAATGCTGCATTATAAACCTGCAGACAACAAAGCTCATGACATTATTGTAATTATAAATTTCCAACATCTTTATAAATATGAACTCGTCATTTTGGTTCCTTGTATGATGTGCAGCCATATTCAGCTGTGAGGTCAGGCAAGCTGCACTGTTTATTTACTCGTACCTGTTGAAGTTAGCTGCTAATGCTGTTGCATTATTTAATAGCATGTGGCAGTGATTGGGCGAAGCAGGAGGCTCAGGAGAGATGGACCACAGTTCCAGTCCTAGCAGTATGCAATCTCTCAAGCTCCCAGTGCATCCTCTGCAGAACTGTAGAGGCATAGCCCATTCTTGAAGACTAAAGACTTTGAATCCTGCACATATAGTACTCGGTGTGTACGTGGAACTGTGATCCAATCACTTTTCTCAAAGGCATTTTAGTGTAGGTGTGTAAACAGGGCATATGAAGATGTTCTTCACAGTACTTCTTATGATGTTGTGATGCAGGGTGCTATTGAAGAGTCAGTCCCCAGGGAGTAAATAGGCTAACATATGACGAAAATACAAGAATTCCCTGGCAGAGGTGATATATCTGGAGCAACACGGATACATCCTAAATATATAGTACTAATGAAGAACAAACTACTTAACAGAAGATTGTTTATGAAAGCCAAAAAGTATATGACCCAACAAATTGATATTTTACAAGAACACCTACAAATAAAGGGTATCGTCTAAAGAAATGAAAAGTATGGTCTGAGAGTAGGGTAAAAGAGAGTGAATTAGCTTAAAGTGGTAAATGAAGAAGAGAGGGACCTGTGTAGCCCAGAGTGCTGGCTCCCAGGGGCAGAGGGTTGATGCTTTGAGCTTTTCTATTCATTATTATAAAGAAATAAACAGTCAGAGTTTAAAAAAGTACAGAACACAGTAAGTGACACTACTGTATTTTAAAGTCTTTTAAGAAGCCTAGCAATTGCAGGGTTCTGTGACTGCTTTATAATCAAAATGGCATAAATTTAAAAAGTTACATTTACTTGAAACTACATCCTAGAATGTGGTTTCACCCAGTAACTCCACCCAGTACAGAGAAGAATGTAGTGTGGAGATAGGCCAGCTTGGATGGACCTCAGTACTGGGTGGACTTTTATTATTAAGATTACCAAATAAGTGTTTTCCAAGAACACTATTATAGATGTTATGGAGAGCTGTATTAAGATTAAGCTGAAGGACAGCATCTTGCTCTGAAGACTTGGGCTGCATGGTGACACGAGTTCAGCAAAGCCCCTTGAAATATTTTTGTTTTTAAAAAAAAATCAAAAGGAAAGTCAGGCTTGGCTCTAGGGTGTCATGCTGGGTGGTGTCAGAATTAAAGCACACAGCATCTAGTGCATAGAAATGGATTTAGAGTGACCATTGTTAATTGCAGGATGAGGTGATCGTCACTGGCACTGTGTAAATGCCATGGCTCATTGTTTTGAAAGTCCACAGGTGACACATTTCGTTTTGCTTCTCGGTTGCCTGACAGCATGTGGTTGAGCCACAGGCACCCCTCCCTCTCTCAGTCCTGAGGACCATGTGCCATCAGTTCTTTATGACAGTCAGAACACAAAGCACTGAGCTTTGAAAGGGGGCATGGCATACATTCCTAAATCAGTGACACACAAGGTCACACCCCAGAGAATGCACCTCCGATGAGCTCAGGTCAAATGGGCATGGCTGAAAATACACATTAGTGACTACGATCGATGGACAGAAGCAGGGAGGAATACTGATGGTTTGCTACACTGTCCTGGGGAACATGTGCTTGGTTTAGTGTTCGAAAAGCATGTGGAAGTATATGTGAGAGATAAGGGGTAAAAGAATGAAATGTTTTCAGACCTGTGAGGGTCTAACTAAAATACATAGATGCTTTAGAAAACTATGACTTTTCCTAAGTGGGCCTGTTGATCTTAGAGGACAAGTGGGCGTAAACTGATTTCCTGAAGTAAGCAGTGATGCTTTTAGCTGCAAGTAGCCACAGAAGACTCAATTAAAATGTTTCCTTTACAAAGCAAGAAAAGCTCTCATAAGACATGACAAGAAATGCCAAATCAGGGTAGATCCAAGCCTGTTAATCCACTCACTCAGGTGTGAGTCATTAAGGACTCATATTTCCCCCATCTTTCTCCTCAGGCACACTGAGTTTTTCTCTTTGACTAGTTAGTTACCTCATGGTTGTGGAAAGCTATTCAAATGGTAGCCACATGGAGACAGGGCAGCTCTGAAAAAGGAGATTCTCCTATGGGTCTCTTACTGACCATTTTCCAGAGAAAAGATTTCCTTAGCAAGGATTCCAGAAGTTTCTGAGTCCTAAGCCACTCACTGACAAGGAATGCAGAACTGTTTTAATTGGTTTAGGCAATTAAGACTTACCTCTTGGGACCAGGAAGCTTAGTCTTCTCTTAAGCACACATGGAATCTACATCACAGCCAGCCTTCTTGCTGACTGCTGGGTAATTAACATTTAAAATGTGCTATCCAGAAACCAGGGGAGGGGAGGCAGTAAGCAGAGAATGAGAAAAAATCAGAAAGGAGGGCAGATGGGAAGAAGGTCACAGTCATGGAGATGGTATATGCTAACTAGATTACCTGGTAGCTCAACTCCATAGGAGCTCTCTGGGCAGCGACTTCTCAGTGGGATATGTTTGCTTCTAACTGCACATCTTACTTGTCTCTGCCCCACTTGCATGGCATTTGGGTTCCCACTTTGTTTTCTGGATCTATATATATATATTTTCCTTCATGTTGGTCTCTTTTCAACCCTTTGTTTTTCTCATGGATATTCTGCCTACTTGCACGTTTCTGGAAAACTCTCCTACTCTCCAGCAGGCGGTGCCTCTCAGGGTAGATCTGCTTCCCTCCTCTGCACTTCCACTGACTTCTGTGCATATCTACATGTTGCTGTACTTACTGGATTAAAATCCCATCTTTTCACATATGTTTATGAGGGGCATCTATATGTCCATCAATGAGAACAAAAGGGAATCCATGATTTGATGGAGCCAGATATCTAGGGAGTTGATCAGATAAAATCAGCGGCATGTGTAGTGAGTCAGGTGATATGTTCTAGGAAGATAAAGAAACTGAACAGCTATAATGTAGGGATGTGGCTGGGTTTTCAAAGGGAATGGCCAGGGAAAGGCTTACTGATGCAGTGTATTTCTGAATAGAAAAAGGAATAGAGTATTAGAGTGAGCCTTCTGAGAACTTGTGGGAAGAACAGCTCAGAGGAAGGATAACCAACGTAGACAGCCCGAGATGGAAATGCTTAGCATATTAGATGAAAGGAAAATCTAAAGTATTGAGAGTCATGCAATATGGCAGAGATGAAGCCTGAGAAGGCCAGGGTCAGGTCAGGGAACTGCCATGCTGGTTATGGTAAGGCTTTGGCTTCTCTTTGAGAATGGTACTGTACTGAAGATGCTGAGTACAGAAGAACAGGGCACCTGACCTTTAAGTAACACTGCTTCTGCCTCTCAAGAAAACACAACAGGGGACATAAAAAAAATGAAGATGGTAACTAGGTGTTTCAATATTGTCAGGAGGGAGGAGGGAAGCTTTGACTAAAGAGGTAAAATCAGAAAGAGTGACAGTATTTTTAAAAGTAGTGGAAAGAAGATATTTTCATAGACTGAAGGGGAATAAGAATGAGAAAGTATTAAGGAAGAATATCCAGGTTACTAGGCTGAAAATTGGAAAAGTGGAACCGGGAGTTCTACAAATGAGGAAAGGTGTGATGGAGGAGGCAATGTGGAGGGCTGAGGAGCCACGCCTTTGCTCTCCATCATGTCAGATCTGAAGGACCCCTCAGACTTGTAAGTGAAGATATCAAGTATGTGGTTGTGTTTGTCAGTCTAGAATTGAGGAGTGGCATAAATTTAAAACAAAATCAGCATTTTTTTTTTGCTGTAACCAAACATCTAGAGAAACAAATGTAAATATAAGAAAAGATTCTATTTAGCTTGTAGTTTCAGAAAGCTCATTCTAACATAGTGAAGGAATGATGGAATAGAACAAATTATAGAGGAAACAAAGAAGAGGCAGAGAGGGAGAGGGGCAGGAACAGGGAGAGGAAGAGGGACAGGGAGAGGGAGAGAGAGAGAGAGGGTTAGGGAGAGGGACAGGGAGAAGGAGACAGAAAGGGACAGACAGGGACAGGGACAGGGAAAGAAAATGAATAGCTCCAAGTACATAAACCTAGTGATACCATTCCTCCAGACAGATTCTACCTAACATTGCCAGAACCTCTCTCAAAATAGTTTTACCAGCTTGAGACCAGATATTCAGTTCATGAGTCTATGGGGCACATTTTATATTTGAATTCTAGCAAGGACCGATCAGGGTGTTGGTGATAAGTGAACCTGAGTTGGGATGAGGCCACCTGGGGTGTGGGTGTAAGGCAGGTAAGACTCTGGTCTGAAGCTTGATGAGTTATGATGAATGGTTGCTAGCAACGGAGAAAGATCCTGAATGTGAGGCTGAGGGGTTACCCAGGAGGCAGGCAGCGGTGTAAGAGACTGACTACCAGGAAGACAAAGCAAAGAAGTATTTGTTGACAACAAACCCTGTAAAGAATGATGTCTCCTTGTTGCTAGGAACTACTCTTGACGCTTGCTGTTTCTATAGCTCCATTCTCCCTGGTGCTCCATCCGTGTCTGTAGGATTAGATTTTCTTTCCCCATATGCCCTTTCCCTAAAATAACGCACACTGAAGCATCAACCTTTTTTCTCTAAGGTTTTTCCTTTTCTGTTCCTCTCCTGATATGGCTCTGACTGGGTCACCTTCCTAGCTTTCCTTCACATTCTTGGAAGAGTACCAAGAAAGGGATAAAACTGTGGCAGGTGGCAGGTTGTTTGTGTGAAACTGAGTGGAGAACTGATACCCTCCTCTTGTGAGGTTCTGAACAGGAGCAGTGTGGTGGGAAAACAATTGTTTGTCTGAGTCTGCGAAGCATAAGCATTTAGTACACATACTCCTGTAAAAGAGATATTTTAAAGCATAGAAAGTAAGCACACAAGGACTAAAGTATTTCTGCTTTACTTGTAGGCATTGTTTGGGATAAAATGGATCCCATCACCACAGCAAATACTGAATTTTGCCTTGATGTGTTCAAAGAGCTGAGTAGTAGCAATGTGGGAGCCAACATCTTCTTTTCTCCATTCACTACATTTTATGCTTTAAGCATGCTTCTCCTGGGGGCCAGGGGAAAGAGCGAGGAGCAAATGGAAAAGGTAATATGAAGCAGAACACCTCATGAAACCAGACATTTTCCCGTGCTCCATCTTGTCTGATAAACCTCAGCCATTTTCATTAAAACAAATATATTGTGTAATGAAAAGGCATACTTAGGTAAGTCATGCTTATTAGAAAGGCACAAGTTTTAAATAATGGAGTGTAATGTAAATCAGTGCAGTACATATAGCTGCTTTTATATCAAATTCATTTCTTTAGTAACTTTTTTCAGTTTTTCCATGTTATTTTTTATTTGCATTGCATCCCAATAGCAGCCCCTTCCTTCATCTCCTCCCAGTGCTACCCTTGCAAATCCCTCCCCTATTACTCTTCCCCTTCTCTTCAGAGAAGGGCTTGCCCCAGTTGGATATCACCTCACCCTGGGACAACTAGTCCCATCAGGACTAAGAACTTCTTCTCCCACTGAGGCTTAACCAGGCAGTCCAGGTAGGGGAAGGTGATCTAATGGTAGGCAACTAAGTCAGAAACATCTCCCACTTCAATTGTTAGGGAACCCATATGAAGACCAAGCTGGATATCTGCTATAAGAGTGTAGGGGACCTAGGTCCATCCCCTCCATGACCACATATAATGTTACTATTTTGGTAACTTGAACATAATAGAGAATACATGTTTGGTACTATTCTTTTAATCTAAAAATTTAAACCAAAAACCCTTAAAAGATTTTAAATACATTTAAAAAAAGGAATTTATTACCAAATGTATTCATGCCAACCCTGTTAGCAGGCAGATATTGTTATTCCCAGTTTACATCCAGAGGAATGGTGACATGTCACATGACCCTGGCTGCAAGATCTTTACAATCTATGAATTTCTACTATTCTGAATGTCTAGAAAATATCTCTTGATGATTCTTAGTATAGTTGCTTGTTTTGCTGTTACTTTACTGGGAAACTGTTATGTTTCCAGGGCTCCCTATGAGCCGTGTTCTAGTTAAAAGCCTGAAGAGTAGGAAGAAGGTTGAGAGGCCTGCCATAATAGAGTTCTGCTCCTAGAACCTGGTGAACTATGGACCGGGGGCAAGGGTGCTTGTCATTTCTTATCTAAGCTTTTCTAACATCAAATTAAGGTGATAGAGTTTACCTGTGCAGTTGTCAGGAGGGTTAAGTAAGACACTGGAGGACTTAATTCAGGACCTGGAACATTATAGCATTAGATGTTATCTATTGATACTCGAAATATGAATACAGATATAGAAATATGAATACAGCTCTCAGATCTAATAGATCGTACATTCCTTTTGTGGCCAGTTGATCTCTTTTCTTTTCTCAGGTACTCCACTATGACAACTTTTCAGGATTCTTAAAAGCGAGGATGAAAAATTCTTCTGAGGTATGCTGCTATCAGTGCTTCTATCCATCTGAAGTACTCTCAGCATTACACACCAAGAAGTCATCCACCAGTCTGGATGAGTGGAGTCCTCTCTTGGGGCCAGAAGGAAGCCAGCTCTGTCCTAGGGTCCTCTGTTAATGTTCCCAATAATCACGGAAGAGTGTTGAATTTAGTCCAGGGTGATAGAGATAAAGCCTCTCTATACAGTCTTTCAATCCAGCCATTGTCATTCAGACTGTTTTGCTCTGTGACCTTGTCTGCTGTTGATGCTGCCAGTTTCACCCAGGCACTGTTGTTTTGTCATTCCACTGAAAGTCACTGAGAAATGACTGGCTTTTAATTACATACTGTCCCTGATACAGCCCCATCCACATGTTCTGAGACAATAGTACCTAGTTATCCTCAAAGGGGTATTCACTCATTTACATAGAATACTCTAGATAGTATTTTTAGTAGTTCATGGGTATATGAATAAATGTGCATACATACAGATAGAGACATAGACACAGGCTCATTGACAGACACGTAAACAGACATAACTGAAACCTCAGAAACCTTACTTACTAGGAACCATTATTCAGGAAACGTAATCATTGCATTTTTGGCATCTATGAATTCTTAATCATTAGTCATATGTATTACAGTTGCAAACTTAGCAGAACTGCTACTATACAGAATAAGCGAATGTACTAAATCTTGTTAGTGAAGGTTGAAGTATTGGTTTAAGTAGTCATTCAGAAAATGAGACCTTGCTTGGGTGTGTTGATTCATACCTGCAATTTCAGCACTTAGGAGGCAGAGGCAGGAGGATTGTTGCCAAGTTCAATGCCAGACTTGTATACATAATGAGTTTGAGTCAGGCCTATCTAGCAACGTCATTCCCTAGTTAGGAAGAAAGGGTCAACAGCAATCTAAGAGGAACAAGATGGTAATGTGGAAGAAAATATGACCACAGTGCATAGAACACATACACACACACATATACACATGCATACACACACACACACACACACACACACAATATAGGTAACAAACTGTCAAAAATATAAAAGAAAAGACCAAGAATTGAAAATAGAAATATAAATATACACATAGTAGCAAAAATTGCATTAGAATCTCTTTGTCCATGAAAACTTAAGTTTTTGAATTAAACTATTAGGATCACCAACTAAGGATACATGGTTGACTGAGATCATTTTGCTAAGGGAAATCAAGTTCATCTTGTGCTCACTGCTGTCTATTGGAAGGCAAACATTTTGCTCTGCAGATACTGTGCTTTTTATTGTTTCTAACTCTTCAGTGGCCAGAAAGCAATCATGTGTTTTCTCTGTTCATCACTCCCAGTGCAGCCAAGGTGGAAGGATGCATCGTGAGTTCAGAGCCCTGGTACCTCACATTAACCAACAGAACTCCCTCAGCATTGCTAATAGAATCTACGGGTCGAAGGCAATCGAATTTCACAAGGTGAGCACACATGGCACCCTCTGAATTTCATATAGAAGATCCTGCAGACATTCTAAGAGCCTTCTAGTCTGACAGAAGCTCACAATGTGCTCTGTTGAGTTCCTGTGGTGATGGAAGTCATGGACTGTGTCCTTTGAGCTGCTATACTTTCTCTCCTCTTTGCCTCTCCCAAACACTGACCCAAACATAAGAGTAGATAACTGTTGATTTAGAGTGGTGGTTTTAATTTTTTCCAGAGGAAAGAAGGAAGCCATTTAACCACTATATTTAACAAGTTTTCTTGTAAGACTCTTGCTCTTTACTTTAAAGAGGAAAATGTAGGGACAGGCAAAAAGAGTGCCCATTGCCCATTGTATGAAATTCATCATGTTGACTTGAATGCGCTGCTGTAAGAAAGCCTTCGATATAATGAGAAAACCAATGTTTATGGACATTTTTATTTTTCGAAATCCTTGGATTTAAAGACAAGTGTTCACAGATATTATTCTACTTTAGCTACTGACAGCAGCAGATTTTTGTTTCTGTGTTAGGACTTTAGAACATTCTACACTGTAAGGGTTTTGTGTGTGTGTGTGTGTGTGTGTGTGTATGTGTGTGTGTGGTATATGTTTGGTGTGTGTGGTGTGTATGTATGTGCATGTGTGTGTGTGCGTGCGTGGTGTGTGTGTATGTGTGTATGTGTCTGTGGTGTGTGTGTGTTGCTGCAGGAGTACCTGAAGCACGTGTGTGTATGGAAGTCAGAGGACTGTTTTGTGTGTCAGTTTTCTCTTTCCATTTTTTTCTAAAAACAAGGTCTTTTCCTTGTTGCTTACCACTGCTTATGGCCAGCTATCCTGCTCCCAGGATTCTCCTGTCTCTGCTTTCTGTCTCCTGTAGGAGAACTAGAGTTACAAGTGTGTGCTGCCACACCTGACTTTTACATGGGTCTGGTGATGTAACTCAGCTCCTCACACTTGCATATGAAGTAATTTACTCACTGTGCTGTCTACTAAGACCCTTTCTTGCACTATTTTTCTGCTGCCTCTCAATTGTTCTTTCTTTTACAGCAATACGTAAGATGTTGTGAGAAACTGTACCAAGCCAAGCTGCAAACTGTTGATTTTGAACTATCTTCAGAAGAGGCAAGGAAAAGTATTAATACTTGGGTTGAAAATAAAACTAATGGTAAGGATGATTGTATGTGTGTGTATGTGTGTGTACATGTATCTGTATGTGTACAAACTTTATGCTCCATTGACAAAAATCTTGCCTTGCTATGCTTACAAGGAAGCTGAAGTCAACTAAAAAGGTGAAGACTAGTTAGTGTCTTAGTTAAGGTTTTACTGCTGTCAACAGATACCACGATTGTTGGGCTTTGGTGACTGCGTGGGCATGGGTTCTGCGGATTGAGTTGTGAGTCCCTTGTCTGCCCCCTCCAGGCAGCTGGAGCTGGGGCTCAGAAAGGCAGAGGCATGGAAATTTGACTGTGTTTACTCCACGATGCGCTGGGCTTCTCTCTGGGGTGGAGAGAACACAGTCTGAAGTCCCATGGGGGCAGAGCTCTTGGGTTAGAGATCCCTGGGCCAAGGCAGCCGGTTGGGAACCGACTGGTCTCGAACTCTGGTGGTGCCCTGAGGGAGTGAGACTCTTGGTCACGACTCACTTGGCTGGCTTGGCTAGCTCACTTGAGTTGGTGGAGAGGTTGTCAGTTGAAGACCTTTTCCATGGTTTCCTATGGTGGGCCCCAAAGAAGAGAGGTAGTCCAGGTCTTAAGATATAGTCTTAGGATATTTCTTGTCCTGTTATTAAATGGATGGAGCTATACTCCATGTTCTCAGGGTGGGCCTGAGGTTAAATACCTTTTGTAAGGAGGAGGGTCTAGGAAGGAATGCTTAATTGGCTACGCTCTCTGGCATTTAGGTATCTCATGAATATGGAGATGTCTTGAGGCTCTGTGGCCTGTAGTCACGCCCTCTATCTGTGCTATGTGACCTATGGCCACAAACCTCTCTTTGGGAGGGGCTATAGAGGGCTATGGCTATGTGAAAGCAGCCAGGGTTCCCGGGAGCAAGGCCTACCATCCCTGCCAGACTAACCAGGTATTCAGCTGCTTCTCACAGCCCACTCCCCCACACATGACCAAAGCAATTCTTATAAGGACAATATTATTTAATTTAATTTAATTTAATTTAATTTAATGCCCATAGTGACACACTTACTCTAACAAGGCCACGCTTCCTAACAGTGTCACTCCCTGGGCCAAACATACAAATAATCACAATAATATGAAGTCTAAATGCAATGAATAATTTAGAACATACTTAAGAATATATCTTACAATCATTTGTCCTATGCCAAGAGACTCTGGGAAAGAAATGAATACCCTTTCTACTTTAAAGAAATGTCATAAAGTTAGCAATTTTTACTAAAATTAATTCTCTCATTCATTCAGAAACATATTTTGAGCATCTTTGTATATCTATTGCTATAATATAATTATGGTGTAGCCTCAAGATTATAATGAAAATGAAACTCTTCACAGGACTATTGCTGGATGCTTGAGCCTCCTTGTGCTTCCTGTCCAGTGACAAGTTACATTCCAAATTTCTAGGTCGCAATGCACTGGAAAGCACTGGGGTACCTGGATGTTTAGCATTTGTTAGAATATTTACAAAGCAGACAACTTCTAGTACCTTCCACATTTCCGATTTCAAATATGCCTTTAAATGATCTTTGTAATATACTACTTTGTATTTGTCCTACACTAGTTCTCTACTTCGAGGGTAAATGACCCAGAATGGGATGCATGGCTTAACATCTGCATTTGGATGAAGAGTCAGGGTGACTATCTGTGTAATTCTAAATAGTCTTGTCTGTAAAGCAAATTTCAGGACAGCCTCATCTACACAACAACCTCTAAGTCAGCCTGGCCTACACGGGACAGCCTGGTTTACACACTGAGTTCTAGGACAGCCTGGTCTAAACAGTGAGTTCCAAGGACAGCCTGGTTTAAACAGTGAATCTCAGGACAGCCTAGTCTTCAAAGTGAGTTCCAGAACAACCTGATGTAAACAGTGAACTTCAGAATAGCCTGCTGTACACAGGGAGTTTCAGGACAGCCTGGGCTACAATGACTATTATGCAGACAACCCTTTTTAAATTCAGTGGGTCACATATACAAAGCAAGGAATCCAGGAAGTGGACTTATTGTATCCGAATGTCATTTCAGTGAGAATGAGAGACAGCTTGAAGGAGATTTGTAGAGTAAGAAAGACAAAATTTTATTTTATATATGTATGGAGCTATTAAATAAGAAAAAATAAAAAATCACCACTATAAACACAACAAAACAAGCAAACAATCAAAAACAGTTAAACAAGCAGGGCTGGGAGATAACCTGTCAATACAGAGCTCATACTTGTGCATGAAGACCTATGTCTGATGCCCAGGAACATGTGTAGAAAGAGCTATGTGTGGCAATACATGCCTGTAATCTTCCTGCTGGAAAGCTGAGACAGGAAAAGTTCTGGGGCTGGTGCTGGCTCATCCAGAGTAACGGAGCTCTGAACAGGAGTTTTCAAATTCCAGGTTCCCTTGATAGAACAGAAACCGTGTGTATTAAGTGCTTTTACCTGCTAAGCCCCAGGTTCTCAACCTTCCTAAAGCAGTTCTTCCTAATACAGTTCTTCAGGATGTGGACTGTACTATTTTAGGACCATAAAATTATTTCGTTGCTACTTCATAACTGTAAATTGGGTATGTTATAAATCATAATGTAACTAATATACAGGATATCTGATATGTGACACCCAAAGGGGTCATGACCCACAGGTTGAGAACCACTGTGCTAAGCCATCTTGTTCACTTGAGGGAGGGGGATCTTTTAAACGTAAGTATGGAAGTTAATAATGGACAATAATGTGTTAAATATGAATAGTATAGGATAAACTGAGCCATCCCTAAGACATTACTCCCTAGATCAGAAGTTCCTGTGACCGGAACTAGATCTAGAGTGAGGAATGGGAGTTCTTCTGGAACATCAAATTTAAAATTAGTGAACAAATATGCAAATATCTATTATCAGCAAGTTAATCCAAATAAAAATGTCTATTCTTTTGTTGTTTTACTCCAAGGAAAAATCAAAAACTTATTTGAAAAGGGTACAATTGACCCATCCTCGGTCATGGTCCTAGTGAGTGCTATATATTTCAAGGGACAATGGCAACATAAATTCCAGAAGACAGAGACGGTGAAAGCCCCCTTTCACATGGGTGTGGTAAGCATTTCACTTTCCAGACTTTTGATAAGGTTTTGTAAAATGCAGTATTAATTTAAGGAAAGTTTAGAAAGATTGCATGAAAACATTGCTGTAGGTCGCTGATGGCTTTTCATTTTCAAAATGACAATAATTAATTAACAATGAGCAATTTCAAAATAACTTTCTCACTGGACATGAGACTGGACAGAGACTCCCTGAGGAGTGGAAATCTTTTCCTTTCCTAGTGTTCAGTCCCTGAAGTCCTGATGTTTTGAACTGTGGTTACTTCTTGTGGCAACTCATAAAGCCGTGCTTTTGTCTTAGAGAGTATACACATGACTTAGGAGAGATAACGGGTGAGCCTGTCATTTGACTTTCCACATGAATCATTTTAGTTAGAGATTAGTGTTATAACTGAAAGACTCAAATAGTTTCCATAGTATTGTTGTTCTATAGTCTCCAACTTTGACTTATTTTAGGATTAAAAAATTGATAACCTGAGCAAAGAAATGCAATAAAAATGTATAGCTAACATTTTATATTATTAACATTATATTTTACAGTGATAACACCAATAATCATGTTAGAAAAATAAACTATACCTACATATCTACTCACATGTTATTGTACAATTTAATTATAATCTTTTTTTTAAAATAGGGTAAAAGTGCGGTTGTAGACATGATGTTTCAGACTGGAACATTTAAGCTGGCCTTCATAAAGGAGCCACAGATGCAAGTCCTTGAGCTTCCCTATGTCAACAACAAGCTAAGAATGATCATCCTGCTTCCTGTAGGCACAGCCAGTGTGAGCCAGGTAAAAGGCTGACAATGTCAGCTTGCAGCTAACACGTGTGTATGGTGTGTGCATGCATGCATACATGTGTGCATGCATGAGTATGAGTGCATGTGTGCCTGTGCATGTTTTTACTTTTTGTGTGTGGCCTGTGTTGTCTGTAGAGCCAATTGCTGACTCAGGACTAATCTCAGTGGTCTTTCCCCAGGAGCTGAGCACTAAGTATGATCCCTGCCCTTTAGTACTCAGGCAAGCCAAGCTCTTCGTTCATCGAAAAAGTCATGTAGGTTCCCCATGTCACACAATATAAATGATGCACGTACTGCTCATGAGACACTTAGTGTCTCATTGTTCTGTAGTAATGAAATGTGCTGTTGGTCCCAGACCCTAGAAATCTAATGAAGCCTTGTTACTTAAGGGGCAGTTTTCTGCTGTAACTAGAGGATACACTCACAGGCTAACCATTTTTAACATCCTGAATTTGTAAGGAAATAACACCATAACCAGGAAAGAAAGGAGCTAGGATCTAGTCATGAGCCAGTGGTAGCAGGAATTTGGGTTCAGTCACTTCTTCCTGGTTGTAGCTGAAGGTTCTTAGCATCAAGAGACCTTGAAAAAAAGATAGGTAGCATCTAACCCCAACCTAGCCATCACCTAGCCAGCACCTCAAGATACACTATAAAACAAAGTTTCTTAGGTGAACAGCTATGGCTCTGGGAGCCTGCAGAGGCTGGTTTCCACAGTAGGATGGCCATAGTCAAGGTTAGCAAGTCAGCCAGTGTCTAGGGCAGGGCTTACTAGCTTTAGTCATAAACAATTGGCACTGGTGTCTGGGAGGGGAGAGGTGGATGAAAGAGCTGGGTTGGGTTGTTTGCATGCGGCTTAGGGAGTGAGGAAGATGCCAATTCAAAGGGAGCTTTAGTAAGAGAAGCTTAGCTATTACTGTGGGAGCTGTGTGCTTACGGTATGGCCAATGCAGAGGGGAGTAAGGCCTTTGGGGCTTCTGGTCAGCTGGGGTAGAAGATGTTAAAGTCACTTAGCAGTTTGGAAGCAGTTTAATCTTCACATAAAATCATGTGCAAAATAAAATAAATGTATAGATTAGAATGAGGAGGCTGGGGTGGTGTTCCTAGAGAATTATCTCCATGTGAGCTTCACTCAATACATAGAAGAGAGACAGGTGAAGTGAGGGGACCCTCCTGGTCTGGGGAGAGCAGGGAGCACATGTAGGTGTGTGCTAAGTGTGATTCAACTGAGATATGCTTGGTTTTATTGTAAGGAAACTTGGACTAGAACTAGTGAAAGATGATAAAAAGGATTCATTGACAGAAAATCTACCCTTATCTTATAATTTTGTATTATGAGAGTGGAAAAGTAATGAAATGATTTAGACTGTGGGACAAAATGACAAGGAAAAGGACACAGTATGTCATTTGGTGCTGTAGAGGGTTAGCTAGAGAGTACCAGACACTCAAAGGTAGTATTTAAATAACAGACTAAAATGTGGAAGCTTGATATTGTGATGAGAAGTCAGTTTCTGGGACCATTTCAGAAACCTAAGTACGTATGTGGGAGTTGGAGTGCCAGTCAGAAATACTGCAGTAGGCAAACATGCCATGTTCAGCTTCAGAAATACCATAACGGAGAGTAAAGGACATCAGGGAGATTGAAGCCATCAAGAGTAGGACAGAGAGGCATGGCATCTTAGAAGCCAAATGAGAACCAAATTCACAAAGAAGTGTCTCAAAGTTTCAGACAGATTGATCCAGGAAGCAGGTTTAAAATAACGCCAGGGGCAATAAGCAGCGAAGTTTAGGAAAAGGCTAAGTAATGAGGGAATTCCAGACTATACACTGAGAAAGTCAGCGAGGAAATATAGAGGAGAAGTGGGGAACAGAAAAAGAACATGCAGCTAGATACATCCATAGATAGCACATGAGCATTAAAGGTTGAAAAGCTAGCAAGGAAGCTGAGCTATTCATAATGGGAATTAGAAAAACATCTGTTCTACACAGAGGTGATGTGTTTGGCTCACATGTGCTCATCTGTGTTTTGACTCATAGATAGAAAAACACTTGAATGCGAAGACGCTTCGAGAGTGGACCAACTCTTCTAACATGGTGGAAAGAGAAGTGGATGTTCACATCCCTAAATTTAGTCTTTCAGTAAAATATGACCTAAACACCCTATTGAAATCCCTAGGCATGAGGGACATCTTCAACGTGGCCAAAGCTGACCTCTCTGGAATGTCACCGGACAAGGGCCTATATTTATCCAAGGTTGTTCACAAGTCATACGTGGATGTCAATGAAGAAGGCACGGAGGCAGCTGCATCCACTGGGGAGAGTATCTCTGTGAAGCGACTCCCTGTCCCAGTTCAGTTTACAGCCAATTGTCCTTTCCTGTTCTTTATCTGGGATGAGTCTGACAATATTTTATTTGCTGGAAAGTTTGCTTCTCCATAGACAGAGACCATTGTGGAGACCTCAGAAATAGCTAACAAGTACAGGAGCAAAGGGCCTGACCATTTCCATCTCAGCCTTTGTTCATCTGCAAAGCAGGTCTACCATCACCTCAGACTGATCCTGTGAGCTAGTGAGCCTAAGACTCTAGCAGCCATGTTAAAAGATCCATTTATACCAGCGACCTTCTGGATTTCATATCTTTGAGACCTCATCTGAGTACAGAGTGGGATGACTGAGTTAGGAGAGAAGTTTGTAAGGGGCTAGATGTGTTTGGTTATTTTATGAGTGAGATTGTAAATGAGTGATTGTTACAAATCAGATTGAGGCGTCTACTTCAGCTCAACTTTTAAATATAAATTTCCTGCATGCCTATGGATTTCAGCTCAAAATTCTACGTGGATCATAATAAACGGACACAATGCCTTTAACTCTCTGAAGATAAGAATAAACTATATCAGTTAATTAACTGAAGGAAGGAGCTTTCTTATTCAGGAAACATTTCCCTCTTCCCCTTTCTTTCTTTTTATAAAAACAGTTTTGACAATTTACATGTTCATAATGGATTTTGGTCACATTTCATAACCCCTCGCTACTCTCTCTCGTTCCCCTCCCTCTTCCATGGAAACCCTTCTTTTTTCCCCATAATGCCTCTTCTTGCACCAATTCTAGTTTGTGACCTACCAAGTTTAAATGAGGGTTGCTGGCATGAGTAAGTATGGGTGAGAGGTTGTTTACTGAACCATGGGTAACTTATTAGAGACGACACTATTAAAGAAAATGGCATCTTTCTCCTGGTCATTATTGATTATCAATAAGTTCCCCAAGAAGGGTATCTTTGGAGCCCCTTCTCCATTTGTGATGAAGCATCAATGGGCTCAACTTTGTGCTTATTTTGGGCAAGTAACTACAGCTCCTGGGGCCTTCTGAGGGCAATGAGCATGCCATGTCCAGGAGAGATTTCATAGTGTCCCTCCTTGTGCTCTGATTCTTACCCTCTTTCTGCCCTGTCTTCTGCAGTGCTTCCTGATCCTTGGAAAGGTATGATACAGATGTCCTGTTTGGGGCTGAGCCTTCGTAGCCACATGGTCTCACTAACTGTAATTTTCTGACCCAATCATTTATTGGTCAAAATATATAATACATTCTTTCCTCCTTTAAATATCAGCAATTCAGTGACTATAATTCTCAGAGAAACAAAAGATAGACATTAGTTGAATGTTTCCACGTAGAGAGAGCTCCTATATTTTCACTAAAGATAACACAGAGCAATAACCAGATGACAGATGTCACTGTTCCATGGTTCTGACAGGTAACGCTGTGAAATGTAATGACAGGTATATGCAATGTGGCTTTTCCTGGGGAGACTGGAACAAACATCTATCCACCCCAGATCAGGCACAGATGACAGAGCAAGGGAACAATTCCACCAATGTCTAGCTTAGTTAACCAGTGGATTTATTAGGGTTTCTTAGAGAATTATGAGCGGAAGGCTACCTTCATGAGCTGAATTACTCAAAGGCAGCTGTATCAATAAAAAGCCCATGCTAGGGTGGGTGCTAGCTCATGAACACCATAGCTTTGGACCTCCCTGCATGACACTGAGGCAGCTTGGCTGGCCGTTGATATATGCTATATGATGGATACGAATAATGTATTGAGCAACAACAAGAGAAAATGACTCATGCTATCTTTTAGCTTCAGAATGGGGAAAGAATCTCCTCTGTTAGGGGATCTCAGGCTATTTTCCCTTAAGGCTTTCAACTGATTACATGATTTCTACCTATTTGATGGAGATAATCAGCTTTGCTCAATATGTGCTATTTCAAATGTTAACCTTTTGTTAAAAGTATCTTCACAGCAGCAGCATCCCGGCTGATGTATGTCTAAGTCGCTGGGTCCTGGGACCCTGGCAAGTAGACTCACAACATTTAAAAAGTCTTTGAGATTATAGCATCTGCAATTAAGATCACTTGCCGTTCTTTCAGAGGTCATTACTTCAATTCTAAGCATCCAAGCTCGGTAGCCAACAGGTAGGAGAGACTCATTGCCAGCTATGCATTGACAGAGGATTAATATCAAGACTGTATAAAGAACTAAAAACCCAAAGAGTTAAGAAAACAAAAAGACCCAATTAAAAATAAGCTATGTATCTGAAAAGAGAATTTCAAGTAGAAGAAATAAAAAGGCTAGGAAACATCTCAAAAGTGCTTGTCGTCCTCATCAACTAGGAAATTGAAAGTTAAGAAAACTCGGAGTTTTCACCTCACACTAGTCAGAATGGCTAAGATCAAGAAAACAAGTGACAACAGATCCTGGTGTGAATGTGAGTGAAGGCAACCCTCATTTACTGTTGGTGAGACTGTTAGCTGGGTCAGCCACTCAGGAAATCAGTGTGGAAAGTTCCCAAAAATCGAAATATGAATTTTTTATATGACCCAGAACTTGATGTCCTGCTCTCAAGACACTTGCTTAGCTATGATCATAGCCAAATCTAGGGAATGGAAGCACCCTATGTTTCCTTCATCTGGAAATGGGCAATGCAAACATGGCTCACATAGCTGGTGAGATTCTATTCAGCTGTAAGGAAAAAGGAAGTTCGTGAGATTTGCCAATTAGTGAATGCAACAAGAAAATTTATTGAATGAGGCGACATGTTAGATAACTGCCACATCTCTCTCATTTCTGGTTTTTAGCTCCAAATATTTGGATGTTAGTATCTACGCTGGAGTAATTGCAGAAGTCATGCAAGTAACAGAGACTGTAAGGTAGAGGAGAAGAGTTAGAGAAGAGAACAGGACTCTGGAGATAGGAGAAACAGGGATTGTTGGTGAGGGGAAGGGACGGCAACACAATTGGAGGGAGAGAGGGGGATACATAACACTAAAGAGGTTTGAAAAATATATATGGAATCATAATTATTTTATATTTAGCTAAAGTTACATCTAAAACACACAAGTGTATATGTATACATATGTATATATTTTAAATGAAGTTATACCACTTGGGGTGATAGTGCCAAGAGCCTAGATTAGCTAAGAAATCCCCCAGTGCTAGGCATGAGAGACCTCCTTTCTACTTGTTGGCCAGTCAAGTCTAAGAAACTCCCAAAACAGTATAAGCTATTCAGATTATCTCCCAGAACGTGAAGATAAGTTCCTATTGCTGAAGATACCATGTACTTCAAACACAGGACTTGGAGGAATTGAGTTGAATTTGACTCAAAAGCCTACTACTTGAGAGGAACTCTCATATTACCAGAAGGTGCTGTCATGTAGAAAGCATTTAATAGTCATCCCCAGCTAAAAAGCCTATGAACCTCAAGAAAGATCAGCCTGGCAAGATATACCTAAAGGATTCATAGTGGCATTCAGCTTAGTGGTAACTAACAGCTACCTAATTAGACTCAAGGTCTGTTTCCCAGAGGGGAAATCCCTCCTGGCAGTGTCATCCTAACTAATCATCTTTTGCTAATGTAAATTTCCTACCAGTAGAAGTGATAATTGCTAAACACTTACTCCTATACCTACAAATATGTGTCACATCTCATTGAAGGCATTTCCTTAGCTGCAGACAGAGTCTGATAGACAGATTCAACTGGTCCTAATGCCATGGATGGATGACTGAGGTGTCCTTCCCCAGTCGATACATTTACAATACAACTATTCCAAGCAGGGTTTGTGGAGGAAGCGGAAGTCTATTACAAAGATCATGTTTTCTAGATACAAGAGGAAAGCTGTGGTCATGAGTTCCCAACAATAAGGCTGCTAAAATAGAACCTTATCAAAGATAACACTAGTTCCTGAACAATGATAACAGCAGTTGATAAGCCAACATGAATGGAGGAAATTAGGCCCCATCCCTAAATGAAGAGCTATAGATGGTTAAAGTCTAGTAAGAGGGGGCGACTTAGAGCTCCCTAAGTGGTTATTGGACCCCAAGTTGTCAGTCCTAAAAAAATACATGAACAAGCAATATTCAGAGGACTCAGAATATATATAAAGACTAAGAGGCCACAAATAAGTGGGGTGGACAGGCTACATGGGAAGGGCTAGAGGGAAGAGACAGAAGGACGAATGATGTGATTATATATTGATTGAATTAAAAACACATTAAAATTTAGCCTAAAGCTGTATTCTTATACAGTGCATGGAGTTTTAACTAATGACAATAAAATGAGATTAGTGTATCAACTTCCAAAATTTTTATTAATACTATTTTGGAAACATTTTTTTAAAAACCTATTGTAGTTACAAATACTAAGAATATTGAATGTAAGTAATTATTTTAATAATAAATTATATGGCTCATGGATTTAATCCTGAAAGCACTCGTATTTTTATCTCCTATTATACCAGTTAAACACTTTAGTGGGCAATCCTTTCCCAGGAGTAGCATGGAATGGCTGGTGGTTCTCATGACTCCTGGTGACCCTTGAATTGTAAGCAAATCTGTGATTGCTTCAAGCCTTAAACAGTCTGTTAGGGATTTAGGTGTATTTGGAGAAAGATATTAATTGAAAAATGACATTTCCAAAAGTAGAGTAGATCCAACACTTTGAATTTTTAATTTTGATTGGGAGCTTATTAGAAACACAATAACTTAGACCTTGGTGCACTCAGCCCTAGACAGGATGTCTCCATCAAATTTCTTCCCTTAGATCTCAGGGAACCCCAAGGAAAAGGACATGCAGAGACTGTAAGGGACAAATGAGATGGTGAACATCAAGAAAATCAGCGTGAACAGAGGTCACATGAAATCACAGAGACCGAATCAACATGTACAGGGTTTGCAAAGAGCTGCACCACATCCTCTGCATATGCATTATGGCTTCCAGTTTAGAGTCCTTATGAGATTCCTGAGCGTGTCAGCAAGTAGGTCTCTGAGGCTTGTGCTTTCTGTTGGGTTCTTTCCTCCCATTGGTTCATCTTACCCAACTTCAATGTGATGATTATTTGTTTTCTTTCTTATTATATATTATTATTTTCTCTTAGAAGCCTGTTGTTTTCTAATGAGAGACAGAAAAAGAATGAGTCTGGAATGGAGGAAAGAAGAAGAGGAACTGGGAGGAGTAGAGGGAGGGGACACCATAATCCAAATATATTGTGTAAAGACAGAATCTATTTCAAATAAAAGAAGAAAGAAATGCAATTGATCCACTGTAGACCTGGAGCTTAACTTTTACATGAATAATGACTGCCCCACAGCTTGAGAAACTTTAAACCAGACAAGAAGCCTGATTACAGAATATCCCTCTTTTCCTCCCAGCAGGTGAAGATTCCAAATAGCCAGTTTGGAAAAACAAATCAGAGGACAAGCTCATTTCGAGTCTTAGTATAAAGCTGTAACAGTCAGGATAGTGCATCACAGTCAAACTGATGGACAACTGGATCAGCAGAGCAGTCTGGAGAGCAAAGGCAGCAAGACAAGTAATGCCAGCTCTCTGGAAAAGCCTGGCACTCTGCTGGAGCACTGCTGTTTGTTTACTTTCTC